GTTCTCTCAGCACATCAAATTTTATGGGTGGTTTGTGTAAATGGTAAGCATCCCCCCCCAGGGAAAGAGCGAAGGAACCCTTACCCTTTCCTATGCATTCGCCTCCCCTTCCCCCCCCCCCACCGCCCCCCGTCTTCTCTAGTGCTTGACGGGCAATTTCTCACGCAGCCATCACTCACTGATGAACTTCTCTCAGGGGTCCAACTTTAGCCTGAAATTCATCCGATTGCTTCGAGTCGTTTTCCCCTCTCACCAACTGAGGGAGTAATAACGACTCGAAGTAATCGGATGAAATTCAGGCTAGTCCAACTTGTGCTATTGAGGGCTTTTTAATCTCCATACTACCACTCCGTTACACATTTGATAGTACGTAGACCCATCAATATATTGCTATGGCTCAAACGAAACTTGTTTCATTTTTAAGCTTCGAGATTCAAGTTTTATGCGACTCTCTTATGGTAATTTTTCAATCAGCCTCGTTCCTTGGCGTCTCAAGTGTTTGGAAAACGCGACTTCTTAGGTCTAGAGGGAAGCTACATGTATTGTAGGTTACTTATGCTGACATGTCTTAGCTTGCCCGAACTTGCCCATGACAAGATAGGTCACACGCGAAAGACAAAAATAGAATGGTTATGGTCCTGTTAGGGTGGGGTAGTTAGTAGACAAGTTTAGCGCATCAATGTTCAATATGGGATGAAGTAAACAGTTAAAATACCACTTCAGTTATAATGCCTTTTAGCATCTTGTCGCTAAACTATGGTTAATTTGAATGCTACCCCTCAGAAAATTTTCCTGATCGAAATTTAAAAATATCTACTTACCTCACCACGGTGAAGAGTTTTCCCGCGCAACAGTATAAATACCGGAAGTAAAAGTAACTTGTTCATTTCTGCAACGGACAACAATCGACAGCAAATGGCGACAAGACCCGCAGCAAACTCGAGTCGAAAAATTGTGATTTTTGCGAGTGAATTAGCTAGTGCGGTTGGACGACATAGATATCAGTCACAAGAAGAGACTTTCCGTAAAGTATGGCTTCGATCGCATCAGCAATCGTTTTGCTTTGCACATGCTTTGCAATTCAAAGATGATCTTCGTCATCTACTGACACAAAGCGAGGAATTGAAGACTCAATTTCCTTCGCTGGAAGGGGCTGAAGGGGAAGTCGAACTTGTCGATTTCGGTGCTATACTCAGGAAAATAATCTGTGATGTCTCCTTGAGAAAGGTTTACCACCAAATTCTCTCATTTCTGAAAGTAAACCTCTTTAAAAGCAGCAAAGAGGAACAATTATTGGTCAACGCAAATGTCGTGGAACAAATTTCGGAGGAAGTGAAAACACTGTGCAAACATGAAGAGAAACCGGTGGAATCCATCGTGAAAGAGATCTGTGTTAAGACAGGAGTTGAAAAGAAAGAAGTGGTCGAAGCAATGGAGTCCAAAATTACCAAAGATCGAGGAACGCACCTCGAAAAGAACGCTGTGTTAGATTTTGGAAAAGAGAAAGGACTTGAAATTGAACGTCCTCTTGTACCTGAGCTGTATTACAGGGATATGGAATATGATGGTATTACTTGGAGTGTATGCGGTAAAGTTGATGCAGAGACAGAGGATACCGTCATTGAAGTAAAGAACCGCAAGAGTCGTTTTATGTGTCCTGAGTATGATTATATTCAGCTTCAGAGCTACTTGTTTATCTGCAAGAAACCGAAAGGGGTTTTACTTGAGAGGCTGAGAGGGCAAAATAGAGAAACATGTTTTGATTTCGATGAGGAACTTTGGAAAGAACTTACAAGTGAGCTAGCTGAATTTGTTGGCGAACTATCAGAGGCGATGAATTTGAGTAAACAGGCTTTGTACGGGTATTCTTCTCCACGTAAGAGAGAACACGATAAGATGTCCCAGAGTGAACCAGTTGGTTGCCAAGCAACAGAAGAGGAGCCAGAGCCAGTGAAGAAGTTAACACTGGAGGAATCCAAAGACAGTTCAGTAATTACTGAGGTGGAAAACAAACAGCAGGCTGGCTCTAATGAACCTTAAAACTTGCCTATACAAATAAATTTACCTGGAGTTCATTACTTCAAGTTAGGTAAAATGTAGCCTGCATGGCAGGCGTTTGAAAGGGAAGGGAAAGGGGGTTTGGGCGCGAGGGAAACACGAGGGGCGCGCGAGGAGGAAGGGAGGGAGGGAAACGCCTGCCAGGAAACCATTGTTTTCGCCATCCCGCCTACTAATTATGTATGCAAAAATAATGCAACTGTGAATGACTAGCTGTCAAATAAGTCTGGCCGCGATGGGCTTATTTAAGTCGTATTTCGCGTACTGTTTTTCTTTTGTTTTCCTAAAACAAGAAATCTGAAGTGAAGGTACTATTAAAAAAAAGTACAAATGTGGTCGTCTTGGAAGGAAGAAAGTCGCAACCATACGTGGCTTGTTATATAAAATCCAGCATAAATCTATTACGTTATTGCTGAATGTATCGTATTGGACTTCCCAAATTGCATGCAATGTTTGTTGGAGAAATTAATTACATTTGCTGACTCTCGAACTGGATCCAGCAGAGAATACAAAAGAACGCTGGTACCAGGGAAAGAAGAGCTGAGCTTCAAAGATCTACAATAAGGCTAATTCTGCAAACAATATTATTATTAAAATGAGTTCCTGGCGGCTTTATAACATCTATAACCAGCAAGAAGTCCTCAAACCAAAAATCGCTAAGGATTATAGATCGCTTCTTCTTCAACAATCTGGTCGTTGATAAAGCGTAGCCTGTGTGGTAGGCGTTTGAGGTCAAACAGCAGATAACAAGCACACAGGCAGCGTGATTTTTCCTTTCTCTCTTCTAGTGAGTAAAACAAGCCGTTGGGAGACAAGACTTCTCAAAACCAGTCAGCAAAACTCATCTAGCTGACAGGTCTTTTCCTTCATACAAGTCTTTTAACTACTTTCTTCTATTCTCCTTTCAAGCTGAAATTGATGCCTTCAGTTTCTAATCGTTCTAAAGCAATGAATTCCATACAGAAAACTCATCACGCCTCACTAACAGCATATTTTTAAATGATTACTGAAAGACCGATTAAGTTACTCAGTAGCGGGATGTTGATTTCAGCCAATCAGATGAAGGTATTAAGGCTGTGAGTGACATGTTTTGAAGATGGACCAATTAGGATTTTAACATTCGCCTGGTGGATGTTAAAAACGAGAAAAACAATGGTCTCCTGGCAGGCGTTTCCCTCCCTCCCTCCTCGCGCGCCCCTCGCATTTCTCTCGCACCTAAAATGCCCTTTCCCTTCCCTTTCAAACGCCTGCTACGCAGGCTAGGTACAATGCAGATCTGAGAGGCTTGAAATGTTTGCAGATGGTGAAATCACCGCTTTCACTTCTTGTACTGGAAACAGGTGACATAAAACAAAAGACCTCTTTGTTTTCTGTTCAGGGCAAAATCTGTTTGGTATTGTTTCATGGTTGTTGTTGTTTTGTTTTATGTCATCAGTGTCCGGTACAACTCCTTTTGGAGACACTCAAAAGGCTTTCCACTGGAAAACCACTGTTAGATCAGTTTATCCAGATTGGTATCATGGAAGTGAAGGGTTGTTAGTGAAATTTCTTTAATTTATTTTATTTTCAAACTTATTGGTCAGCTGGCCAGTTCTGACTTTTGGAAAGCACCATTAAACTGTCCTGCATAAAGGGCTAGAATTGAAAGTTACAGCTGGGCATGCAATATGAGACGTAACAGGGCTGTGCGCTTGTACAGCCCTCTGGCCCCTGGTGCCTTATTTTTGCTATTTTGGTGACTAGGAATTCTTAGTCTTTGCATAACAATCATATGCTGGGCATCCTGGATTTAACAGAGCTCCCTAACATTTTTACAGCTTCAGAGCATTAGGCTCTCTACAATTTTTCTTAGATCAAAGCTTTGCATAAGATGTGAGATGTAAGTTTGAAACAGGAGATGGAAGAAAAAGCAAAAAAAACTATGGAATTATTAATTTAATAACCAGCCTGCACTTCTGAGACTCATCTTCCATTTCTTTTTTAATTTGCTGCAGAGTTAATGAGAGACAAACAAAAATGCCGAACAGATTGTTATTAATTCTATTTATTTAAGTTCCACTGTATCAGAATTACAGCAGTTGTTATTTATACAATATATTATTACTAATGGCTTTGGAATTAATTGGTTATTTATTTTCGCTGACAATGTCTTATTTCGTGTCATTTAATTAAATAGAGAGTAACTAACAGTAGAAGAGAATCGAAAAATGTCATTTGTTATAATAAATAGGTATCAAATAATCAAATAAAAGAAGACGAAATACCAAAAATAATATGTATTGCTCTACCCAATAAGCCATGGATTGCCTGCAGCTACATATAATGTCCCGGCCTTCTTGAATAGCTGCCAAAATCTTTTGATTCCTGGCTTGTCAAATGTAAGTGCATGTTCACAAGTGTAGCTCAAAAGGTTGTGAACTTTAACCTAGCATTAAGCCAAAGTTTGAGCCAAATTTTCTCAGAAAATTTTTAACTAGAGCGATAAGCTTTTAACTCAAAACTCCAGTTACATGAATGTAAGAATAATCTAAAAGAGTTGAAAAGATATAAATCTTGGACTCCTCTATTTAGACACCTGGCCACAAAACTTACACCCTATTTTAAACCAAATCACCCATGATACATCATCTTAGCAAGCCTGAAGAAGTTTACATGAACACCTGAGTAGCTTCAAATTACACTTCTCAGAACTTCAACAAGTGCAGCACACCCATTGATGTGACACACACCTATATAACTTATGCCCTTGTATGCGGTACCTATTGCTTTATGCTATTGAACTTAGTAATACAGTTATATTTTATGGATCCATGGTTTATGTAATATCTTGTATAATTTTAACGAGTTAAAGACACTACAACAGTTACTAATGAAGTTACACACAGATGTTTTCCTTTGATAACTTCAACTATTGTTACTATACTTCTTGGGCTTTTTAAAACCTACTGTTTTTTAATCAATTCACTATGTTCATCTTTATCGTTTACAATATTAGGGGCATGCTGAGAGGCAGTGCTATTATTGGCAAGATAACGCTTTAGTCTTGAGGGATAGTCCGTCATAACTCCAGCCACCTTGAGCTTGTTGAAAGCCAAGTCAAACTCATGGTCGTCATTAAGAACCCAAAGGTAAGTCTGCAGATTTCAAAAAATAATCATGCATATCATAAGAAAATATCACAACCAAAGGTTGAATTTAGTAATCTGGAACCCAAGATCACTCAAACCGTGATTCTTTCATTGGGTGGATTCGTCTGTTCCTTTCATGTGCTATGATCCGAGTGATCTTGGATCACTGATCCTCACCCAAAAATTTTATGTTGTAGTGAACTGTAAATGACGTACAAGGTACTCTGTTGTCCCCATTTTCAATGTTGTTTTGTACATTCACCTTTAAAATTGATGAACTAGAGATTCAATCTCATTACTAAGTATCTGATTTTAATCATAATGATTAATTATTGTTAACAGTAATTTAATTAAGAACTGTAGTGAAAAATCTGGCAATGAATAATACAATGTTGGCAGAAAACACTGCCATTCTGAAGAGTGTAAACGGTGTCTTTTGACAACTCTATAACATTGAAAGACAACTGCAGTCCAAACGTCAAAATTTTGGTTAAAGTACCGGTATGTATTAAAACAGGTAATACAAAAAAAATTTTCCCAGTGCGTGTTATTAGTCCACCACAGACATTTCTTACAAACCCCAGCCTACCAAATCTAACCAACTTGGACTGCACAGATGTAGATATTTTATCATACTGGACACTACAACGTGTTAATATCATTACTTATCACAAGGAATGTTTGTATACTGTCTTTATGAGAAATGCTAAGTAAATGAAAAGACGGTTTCAACAATGGTATATCTGGGGCAGGGGGGGGGGATGTCAAAAAAAGACTTATTTCAATGCTTTTAGCTTACTTGAATTCCTCTCTTGTCCAAATGTTTAAACAGTATAGGACTGACCATAAACCTAAAGTATAAAACAAAAATGATCATGTGCTACAAGTATCTCATGAGCTGTGCGCAATATTAATTTTCCAAAAACACTTCCTTACAAAGTACGACTGTAACACTCAACACTTTGTCATAACTTTTACACTACTGGCACCTTTTCATTTACTTTAAAACAAAACCAGATGCAACATGACAGTGGCCTGAAAAACTTTTCTGACTTCAACGAATACAGTCCTGTAATAAATTAGCTACTTTGTGGTCACATAACATCTAACAAAATGTTTCCTCCCAAAATTTTCTGAGCGAGCAATATTTCAGGAAACAGTACACTGTTACTTGCGAATGTTGAAGGCTCACTTGAATTCAGAGATTTGTACATGTACATTTTGTAGGATTTTTTTCCGCATGGGCTATATAACAATTATTAAACATTTACATTGTAATGAGTTGTCCCTGAGGTAACCAGTTAATTCTGTTCTCTTGAATCTCAATGGTTTCCTCGGAGCCACCTCAGAAAACATTGAGATTCTCAGGAAACAAAGTTATTTGTTTCCCTTAGGACTGGTCATTAAGTGACTATTTTCCCTGAGAATATTTTCCTCAGAGAGCAATCTACTCTCACAATTTGGGTGTTGATTCTGAGGATAACTGCTTCCAGAATTAATGAGAATTGACATCCTGCGTGTGGTTGTTCAGGATACGTTGGATAGAGCTATTCATTGGATAAATATCCAGGGTTCAAGTATAAGGGAAAATATTACATTATTTACTGGAAAGAGATTAATCCCATGGATATAGATGGTGTTATCCATCTTTTGAACAACTAGGGCCTGAAATATTCTACAAACTTTGCCACTTACCAATCAACTATATGACACAGGGCTTTCATGGTCCATGGAACTTCAAATCGCCTGGGAAGAAATCCAAGCAAATTACCACATGCAGTACAGAACTCAAAACCTCTTTTACTCAGGGCAAAACACCAGCACATACAGTTTTATACAGTTTTAAATAATAGTAATGGGGTAATGCGGGACTTAGACTCCTCTCTGTTAAGCTGCTTAAGTACCAAGAGTGACCAACATAAATTTTCTTCTAACAATATCAGAATATCAGAATATCATGAGAATTAATGAAATGATCACCAAAGGGAAAAAGCTTTGATCTTTTGTCATAATCTCTCAACTAATTCAAAGGGAAATGTGTGGAACTTAGTCTGGAGAATTTGTTTGTGAATATTGGGGCTCAAAGGGTTATTTGATGACTTAATCATTAAACAGGTTTTTACCTGATCATTGTGACTGGCAGCATAATTTCTAGGAAGGATTCCTTGAGGGGAATGAAAGGCAACAATCCAGAATAAAACAAAAAAATGAGCAGGGCTGCACGCTGCATTGAAAACATTACTGCAATCTCTGGATCCTACAAATACAAAAAATATGCAATATAAATATAAAAATTGACTCTGACTATAAAATAGAGTATAAAAATTCTCATGTTTCACTCTAAAAATTCTAAACTTTTACACAACACTGCAGTTTGAATGCATTTTAAACCTTACCTTCTTGTAGCATTTTTCAGTGACCTCCTTTGAAAAGTTTCCCCACACTGTTATTTTTTTCCTGTTGTACTTGCAGATTAACTCGTGAGTCTAAATTATGAAATATAGTGAAAGCATGTTACAGAAAATATGAAAATAAACACTTTAAGGTCCACTTAATTATAAAACCTGTTATAGAAAATGTCCAAGTTTTAAAAAGCCTGTTCCAAATTTTGTTACGCTGGGTGATATTATATTGGGTTTGTGAGCATGGATCCAGAAACTCATAAGAGGTTAAAATCAGTAATGAGCTTCTACTGGATTGTAATTTGACTAGTAAATGGTTCAAATACTCTGCCCAATGGTATTTTAAAAAACAGTCACCCCATGAGGTGACATGAATACCTAATAAACCTAATCTGTCTCCTTTTTTTGTTTAGATACATATATAATAATAGTGAAAATTTACAATGTAAATTATCTATACCCTACATACTACAGTAAAACAAAATATTAATATCATAATAATTCTTACATGCACGCTCACCTTATCTATAAGCTCATCAGAATTACTTTTGATATCTACATTAATTGGAATATCAGGAAAGGCTTTAAAAACACTTTCAAGTAAGGGAATTTTACGATCACCATTCTTTGCCATGCATGCCACACCTGGAGAAAAAAAATTTATATATTAATCAATAAGGACATGACTCTCAGAAAAAGGCAAACAAATATAGGATGCTACATGTTTCTTTGAGGAACTGTGCACTGCTACATGCATACAGCCCACAAGGTGGGCTCCTTATATGATACAATGTACTGGTATCTTCATTACTCTTGATTACTGGAGGACACTTGGTACTGACTATTATGTGTATCACAAAACATTCAAAAGTAGTATAGTATTGGACAGGTGTGTGGCAATTTCACAGAGCTCCAATTCAGATAAATTTAAGGCACCAAATATGCATTCTTAGATTCATCCTACAAGGTAAGGAATTGGTATACCCACAGCTGTTGAAGGTATCAGGCACAATTTTACTGTACAATAAGAGATACATGTAAAACAGTGATCTCGACTACAATGAATGTTATTATTTTGTGCTGCAGGAAGCAATACTGTGTTCAAAGCTCCTAGTATTTCAAGAGGGCATATGCTAATATTAAATAATTATTACCCTTGTTATGAATAATCTTTTTTTACTACCTTAAGTAAAACTATATTCCATCCCCTCCCCCAGCCCCTTCTCAATTTAGTTACAAATGGAAATGGGTACTTTCTGTTATCCATCTCAAGGAAAAGGGCTATATTATTTTATTCCACAGAGACTTAGTATACAATACAAAGCTAAAAGCAGTGTTTACACCAGTAGTACTACCAGTAATATTATATACCTGGTTGAAACTGTACTGTCAGTGTATTCATAAGAAGGGGTAAGTCCTAAGGGATAACAGAGTGTTATTCAATATTAGGTGTACATTGGCACTGGCTTATTACATTAAACACATCGTTACATTGCAGATATTCAAGTACGCTGTATACATTTCAGCCCTGAACATGCAACCATCCTGGATGATCAAACAGTAGATATAGTACATTGATTCACAAGAATTTCTTTGCAATCTCCACATTAGTTTCTTTTAGCTAAGAAGAATACAATTTACTGGAAAAAAAAAAGTTCATCATTGCAGTAGCAACGTGTAATAGCGCTGTGCACAGTTACTATTTAGAGACCCGAAACTCAGACAAACAAACTGAAATTAACATTAGTGAATTCCTCACTTTTGTATGACTTTTGTCATTGAAATGAGAAAAATGACACAACTCAGACAAAAATTGCAAATTAGTCACTCTGACATCATTTGTGTGCCACGCTATTAACAACCTAACCTTATTCATGAGATCATCTCACCTCATATTTCAAGTCACTGATAACTGAATCAGAGTGTGTCACTCGGGAGAGGTCATTATCATGACATACAACAACCTTATGCAAGAGAAAAACAGCCCATTCTTAGCACTTAGATGATTCTGTACTATATTATGGCGGATTTGTTTCTACATTGTGCTAATGATCCAATTACCTTAAAGTGTACTTGTACTTGTACTTGACTCCACACGTAAATGTGGAGGTAACATACATTGTGTACATGTACTGATTATGATCAAAGGTAATATTTCTGTAAGATGGGTGAATGGTTTTATTGTAGTAATAAAAATTTTTTATTATTATTAGTGTCCAAAAAAATATTGTATGTAATGCTCAAAATCAAAATAATCATTGTTACAATTAAGAAAAATTCATCATTAATTTTGTTCACTTTTCAACAAAAACACTCACCACCACCAAGAGGGTACCCATTAGAAGGAAGGCACTAAATCATTAATTATATATTTTAAGGTAGCTTTATCAGAGCATGTGATCATTGTTCCATAACATTAATTTTGAAGTGCAAAGCAAGTAACTGTGCATACTTGCCAGGAAGCACAGAAGTTTTCCAAAAATCTTTTTTTCTTACTTCAAGGAACATGAAAGCTGTAATATCTTTGACCTCTTTACCTGTTTGTCAGCCGTCAAACGAACATCAAGTTCAAGCATCTCTGTTCCCATTTTTAGAGCACTTTATAAAGAAAAGTAATGTTCATAAGTGGCAAATTATGAAGTAAAAGTAGAGTACCATAAAAGAAAAAACAAAAAAGATCTCAAACAAATAATACAAAATGATGCTTACTATTGGTAGGCTGTCATGGTATTTTCTAAATTTTCAGCTGCTCCTAGAATAAACAAGAAAAAATAAATCCATTGTCAGTACAAAAACTTTATAGTGACCGTAGTTAACAGGTGGTTCCTGTCTAGAGGTTAGGGAGTGATCTTTTCTCTCCTGATAAAAGAACTCACACATTAAATTTGCTATATCTTTAATGTAGATATTGCAGTTAATTTTTTATCCCAGTTCATTTTTCTTTTTGGTTTGTTTCAAATTCATTAGCATACATTACCATACCTCAAAACAATGGAAAAATAAAAATGAACTGGGATAAAAAATTAACTACAATATAGATCTGAGTTCCATGCCTTTGTTTTGACATCTCAGGTGACCCCTGAGGAGCACAAAGAGAAAGCACTTTCTACAGGGTATGTAAAACCAGAATTGAAGGTTGAAGATGCCTCAAAATCATAGAAATCAGTTTAAAAAAATAAAGGAAACACATTCTCAAAGAGGAGCAGCTACAAGCTTTTTTTTAAGGAAGAGTTAGGTATTTTTAACAATTATATTGAATGAGGCTGGGTATGATGTGAAGAATAGACCTTGTCACGGTTTTCAACACCATCTTGACGAGTAGGCAAACGCGTGAGAAATTACAGTGTTTGTATGAGAATCTAATTTCGAATAATTTCTGTAGAACAGCTGTTCTGAGAAAAATATGATTTGTAAACTAAAGCTTCACTCCTAAGGATTCTGCTGAAAAAATTTGAAAGCGTTACCTGCACTAGAAGACCTAGAACCACTTTTTGAATTTCCTATACATTTGTCTGTTGGAAAGTCTTGGAAAATTACAGACAAACATATGGAAAATCTAAAGCAAGCCTCTGGAGAAATTTAAGCACAGGTATGCCTCCAAAATTTTTTAGGACAATCCTTTGCTTTGCAGCTTTAGTTTACAATTGAAATTTTTTTCAGAACAGCCGTTTTAAGGAAATTATTCGACATTAGATTCTCATACAACCACTGTAATTTCTCACACATTTGCCTACTCGTCAAGATGGCGTCGAAAACTGTGACAAGGTCTATTATGTAGATTGAAGAGGATGTTGTCAGCTGAGGTGGATAACCTTATCCTTGTATAACAAAATTTTCAAGAATTATCAAAACAGATGGATGAGAAGCAGCCCATTCTGTATTTGTAAAAATCCAACATGCAGTGTTTTTCAGTGTGGAAGCTGTTTGTTGATGGATAAGGAAATTTTTTTCCAACAAAATGCCATTTCATTGGAACATGGATTTTTTATTTATCAAGAACGACCATTTTTTCCCTTAGTTTTCATGTTTTCCCAGCAACAAATAATGCTACCTTTTCATCAACCATAGCTCATATATTCCCTTCACAAACAGGTGGCCTACCCAAGCCCAAACAATAACAGTATTATTAATTAACTGTGACTAAAACTTCAGTTTTGGCTTACACCAAAGAGAAATTTAACACCTGAATGAAGGCTCTCGAGGCAAAAAATTCTTCATCGATTTGGTTCCAGCTCAACTTAATTGCTTTCATATACTTGTTAATTGTTTCAATCTGTGGCTCCAATGAATTTATATTAAGTTTAATTTATTGACCCCACGATTGATAAAGAGTAAGAAACCAGTGAAATTTAATTTAAGTTGCATTGCTGCAGATCAAACGCCTTTCGCCAACATACTTACGGTTTCTGTTGTCAAACTGCTCTTATCAAGTATTTTAGTCTTTGGATAATTTTGGAATTAAGCTTAAGAGTAACTAGCATTTCACACAATTTTCTATAAACGCTAAGGAACACTAACCTCCTCGATGACTGATGTGCCGACATCGAAACTTCGTGTTCTTCCTTTTGTGTAGAATCGTTGGAAAGTTCAGAAGAACAACAGAAGTAATGATGTAACTTCCAATGATTGGTAAGGCTATAGCCAAAGCCAACATTATGTTTTTTCGTCTTGTGAAAGCAGTGAAAGCTTTCTTCTTCTTTGCCGGTGTGAGCTTTTTCCGGTGAATGTCATCAGTGTTTCTGTCAACAACAAATGTCCGCTTGCTTGGTAACCACGTCATTGCAATCATCATGACGCAGCCCACCCAGGCCTTTCCGTTCTATACTTGAGACGTGTTAGCCTGGGCAACAAATCTGAAAATTCGCGCTGCACCCTCCCGTACTAAACGTCTGGAACAGGCTACCTAACAAAGGGAGTCGAAAAGGCAACGAACACCAGGAGAGGATGAAGGACCTCTTGTAATGCATTGCATGGTAAGTCAAGCACACTCCACCACTGCACTGACCGCGTGAAGACATCAGTTTGACGGTGACGTAGTTTTATAGTTAAAGCGTGTTAAAGGAAAGCTCTAACAATGGTCTTTCATTGGACCCTGGCTGGCTTGCATATCGGAAAATCTGCGATAAATATTCTTCTCTTCTGAACTTAATTTGAAAGGTTAATTGACCACTGAGGTGGAGATTCCAGGAAATTATTGATCAGCTGGTTTAATATCTCTTTAATGGTCCTTATCTGACTTATGAGAGTAATCTTCCCACACCTGATGATCTAGTTATCTTTGCAAACAACTTCGGCGAATTGTTTTTTTATTAGAAAAATTGACCTTATCAAGTAGTTCATTTGTAACATTATAAAATTAATCTTCCTATTGATGCTGTTCCGGTCGTGAAATTTGACAGTTTTTCGTCCCTATTCGGTTAAAGATAGCTAAAGACGTTTGTTCACGTATCTGTGTTTCGCCGAATGTTTCATGCTCCCTTGATCCTATCCCTACGGTGGCTGTTACATCATACCTTGATGTTCTCTTGTTATCCATTACCTAGTAAATTTGTTTCTTTCTACCGCTTACGTCTCAGTCGATTGGAAAACTGCATTGTCTACGTTTTTAAGACCTTTGCTAAAGAAATTAGGCCTTGAGTTATCTTATAAAAATTACTGCTCAGTAAGCAATTTGCCCGTTCATCTTCAAGATTGTTTCCACTGTGTGAATGCAATTCTCCTTTGCCTAAGTTTCAGTCGGGCTTCCGAAGATTTCATTCAGCTGAGATAGCCTTGCCTTAATATATTCTCATATCCATGGTTCGTCAAGAAATAATGCTCGTTCTGCTGTCGTTCTGGTATGACTGTATTTATTTGACCTAAGTGCCCCTTTCAACACCATAGATCACTGTTTTCTTCTTGACGCTCATTAAAGGCTCACTTCTTATCTATCTGACCGAAAACAACGTGTTCTCGTCAACGACCGATCGTTCTTCTGATGATTTTTAATTAACCTGTGGTTTCCTCCAAGGTAGTTGCATGGGCCCGATTTTATTCATTCTATACAAGCTTATACAAATCTCGATTTTATCATGCGATCGCCAATGAACCATCTGCAATCTGCTCATTGGTATGCCGACGATACGCAAATCTATCTTTCATTAGTAGTCCTGAGAACGACTGAAATACCTCGCCTAGCTGCAGTTGAGGCCTATATTTCCGTTGTCTGTGCATGGCTGACTCAAAATCGCCTGCGAAAGGGCGGGCTCATTCACGTTATTGGCTATGTTTTTTAAAAAGCTAAAAAATTTTTGCTCATCGAATGGATTCCAAAAGTGATGGTCCAGTTTTGCTAGTAAAGGCTATATTTAGACACTGAAACTGTTTCCTGTCGTCTCTTGCAACGGATAGCAAGAATGGACATGGATTGAAACTTTGAAAAGTTTGGCCAACATTTTCAAGTTTTGTGCTATGCTGGCAAAAATCACCAAAAAAAATTAAGGGACGTAGGACACGTAGACCCCGCCGGTGGTGTGGCCAACTTTTCCTAGCCTTAAAAACAAACAAAAAAATAAATAAAAACGGCAAAACACTCCTCAATGATTCATTTAATTCTGCAGACTTGTTTCTTTAAAATCTATTTTTTCTAAACAACGGACTTTTTCTTTCTTACACCCAATGTGGGTTTCCAGAGAAAAAAACGAGTGATTTATGGGTGGACTGATATATTTAGAGAAAAGGCGGAAAAAAGCGCGTAGATGGCAGCAAGCAAGCTGGATGTATAGAGCGGTTTTCACTTGACTGTCGAAATTGGGATTGGTTTTGGTTTTGGTTTTGGTTTTACTACGACCTTTGGTTGGCTAGTGTATTTACTTTGATTTTGGTTTTACGACAGTCAAGTGAAAATCGCTCTAAGGCATGAAAACGTTTTGGTGTGAGTTGGCGGGGGGAGGGGGGCGATGGTTGAGGGTTTAGAGAGATTTGGAAAATTGTGCGTACCTCTGGAAAATCCTGGCTATGCCCCTGGGCTTAAAACGGCCAAAAATTTAGTCGATAGCCGTAAAAATTGAAAACCTTTCATCGTTAGCCGCGGGGCCGACGTATATAGCGTAAAAAGAGTTAATCGTAAAAGAAACTGTTTCCTAGATTTGTTCATTTTAAGGAAGGTGATAAACTCAGTTATTACCCGTTACTTTTCTTATTTCGCGGCTACTTTGACTCCGTACGCACGTTAGGCTGAGCGCCTTTTCAGATCCCCGGGAGTCTTACCTGACCTCACTTGGCCTGCGTTTTGTAGACGAGTCGACATCTCTTTGTTTTTAGATCTCCAATGTCAGTATTAAAAGCTAGATAATGATAGTATTCTTTTCCAACGGGTACGGGTGAAGAAAGGCCAATCGAAAGATACAAGGCAAGACACAAAAGCCAACAGGAGCATCGGACTCTTTCAACATTTAAAAAAAGCGTTATTGACTTTCTCGGCCTTAACGAGACCCCCGGGCCGTACAAAATTTGCTAATGCCCCACCCCGGGACTAACAAGGTGGAAAAATGCTCCGCAGTTGCCCGGCGAGGGATGGGTGCACCTGGAATTGACTAATGCGTAATATTTGCGATGTTCAGGTGGTCGTGTGCTCGAACGACGTGCAGAGATGTGAGTGTCACTGTTTGTAAAACACGTTGCCTCTAAACATTGTCAATCTATGACAATTCCCTGTTTTTGTCTAACCGCTACCGTAGAATCTTCCAGGCCTTCTCGGTCAAGGCATTTCGGTGGCGCATCCCAGGACGCGCCCGGACCACGTGACCCGAAACGCATTGGCCGCGCGGAATAATGAGGCCTAGGGACAAGACAACGGCAGACAGCTACGACAGCTACAGTCTGCATGACAGTCGCTATCGTAAAATAAACCCACTGGACCCTGCAAAGACCCTGGAATTTTGTTATTTTTATTAATTATAACTGGATATCGCGACCCGGCCACGAGTTGGGCACTCGCGTGTCTGCTTTTGCTTTTTCACGAAGATTCTTTTTTAGATTAACTGTTGACCTTTCTATGCGTAAAATAATATTTGAAGTGTAATACTTTAAAAGTATGATCTATCACATGTTAAAATTTTTCATCCCGATATGATCCTAAGACCTATATGTTGCTTTTTAAAAGGACACAAAAAAATACAGGTGTATTAATGTTTAACTCTTTGAAACAAAAGAAATTGATAACCAATATCCGTAAAACAGCCAAAATTTTAGCCGATAACCGTAAAAGTCACCACCCCATTAAGCCCCTTAGTTAAAGGGATGACAGGTGCATTTTAGGGCTGTAAAAAAAAATTCGGGAAAATGTGTTTAAACAAGGTACACGAAAGGGGTACCATTTGTCAAAGTTATTTTTCTGTGAAAAATGGTACCCTATTGGTACTTAAGAGCGAATGTCTGTAAAAATCGAGCAAAATTGAAATTTCGCGGCCACAGTCAAAAAACCATTTTCGCTCATATCTTGTCCATAGATAGGCATAAGTAAGCAACTAAACGTGGTGTAGTTTGTTTTTCAAAAGGCCGCTTGGATTTGGAGAAAATCGACAAAATCAATTTTCGTGGTCGGCGACTTGAAAACAACCAAAATTTGAGGCAAAATGAGGCGGTCTCAAAACTTCCCTCGCACGCACACAGGAAGAAAGCGGGGTAAAATATTTCCCGATAAATCAATTTATAAAGGGCTCTACTTCTCGTTTGGTGATGAATTCTTATCTTAACGATAATCTGGAAGATAAACAATGTTATTTTAGTTTGGGTTCTTTTTCGACTAAACGAAATTTAAATTTAGGCTGAAAGTTCCGTTTTATATTTTAGGCATGTGCTACACCTTGGTTTGGCCTGAAACTCAAGTCATTTGTTATTTAAACATTGTGCTAAAACATATGTAAGAATTGGCCTGGGTAATTAAATTTGTACTTCACACGAACCTTCTGAAGTTGAATAAATTTTGCTTGAAACATGAGACTTTTCAAGAAAGTCGGTTGGTTGTTGCTCGACAAGTCACGATGGCTGGGCTCTCCAAACGAAACTTAACTCACAATCGCACTTGTATTAAAGACATTTGTACTAAAACGATAATTTTTGTTACCTCAAATGCGTTTTCCCGTTCTTGTCAACTGGCATTGCGCCTTGTCCCATGCTAATCAACCGAAGATCCAAAAACTCGAGGAAACGTGGTGCGTGAAAATAACCTCAAACAGAACATGGCCTATCTTTTCCGCAGTCACACTTTTACATCCATTGCCATTTAAAAATTCTAGGTCTCACAAAAACTGCGATTTTGATAGTGAAACTTTCGGGCTGCCGATACCTCTTTTGTCATAAAAGTCTGGTCAAAAGTGTTGCGTGACAGTATTCACAGGCTTCCCAATCTAACCATTTGAGCGACGCCGTTTTTTTAATGTTCTTGCCAGAAGTAGCATATTATGCTACTAACAATCCAAATCATGCTTTTTTTTTTGTTTTTTTCCTAAGTTTTCTTAAAGTGTGCTTCCATACAATACTAAATAAGTCCAAAAACATCGTTTTTCACGTCAACTTTCCCCCGTCGCCTTGTATGTGCCTTTGATTGACTTCAGGCTTCAATCTCTAGCTATTTCACCGCGTTATTACCTATCAGGCGGCTGTCTTTCCTCTCACATATGCAAGTTCCATTTTTTTTGATAACAGTTTTCGTAAACATTCTGCAATTATCTTTCAGTATATATATTTTTTCTAATCTGAACATGGTTATTCGATCGTCAAACTCTTGTTTCAGTCTGTTTATATACAGAGGAACCCCGCATTGCGACCACCCCGTTTATACGACCACCTCTTGCCTCAGCTCACCTCCCATAGTCTTTCACCCAGACATGAAAATCTCCGAGTCATTTTATTTTGAAGACCTCTTTAATGCGACCACCTCGGTATCACGACCAGGATTTTATGGCCCAACGCTGGTCGCATCAACGGGGTTCCACTGTATTGAAAATAATAATAATAATAATAATAATAATTAATAATTGAAATTAATGTAAAGAATTAAAATTTAGGCCCCACTTATATGAAGAAAATTTGTCTCGAGCAGAAGGGTCACCTGCCTATCCGTGCTTCCCTTAATAGGGAGAGGGCATGATCTCAGGCTCAGCTTCCCTGGAAGAGGCAACGTTTCACACATTTCCTTACTGAAAACATGGCGAACCGTTTAAATTACAAAAAGTTTGCTCGGCCAGAAGGGTGACCCACTTTGTCCAGTCACCCTTTTGTAATGGAAGGGTCAGCCTCCTAGCTGGGCCAACGTTTCTCCGTAGGCACTTTACGCGCTTTCCATTGAACAAAAATTCCTCTTTGAAATTTCGGAAAAACCACGTGCCCAGTGGAAGGTGCATTCCAGATGCAAAGACCAAACCAAAGCCACCGCGAGTTTGGTTATCGTGCTTGTAAGCAGGATACAGATCATTGGTCCTAGGGAAAATAATTTTGTCAAATGGAAGGAGACATTTCGGTCCGACCGTCTAGATCAAATCCGATCCGTATCGGTAAAGGGCTCGCATAGCCAAGGCGAGACAATTAGAGCATGCGCGAAGGCCGGTTGGGTCAATGTTTTTTTTTTCTCTCGGCTAGGAGGGTGACTCACCTACACGAGACAGGTTTTCTCCATATAAAGGGAATTAAAACTTTCGGATACAAAACTTGTAATGGAGAAGGAATCAGAAAAAATTTCAAAATTCTCAAAAAAAATAATATTGAAGCCCTTGTAATTTCGATCGAAAAGACTACTCAAGTTGCCCTGTGGATGACCGAACAGTTGTTATAATTATATGGCAGCGCACAGAACTTAGTGATTTAGATAGCCTAAAAGGGTTTTCAATAAATTTAAGAGGAAACTGTCGTTGGGTGCCCCTGTCAACTATCGCCTAACGCTACCACTGCTTTCTTTACCCACATAGTTTTTTTTCAGTTTTACTCTCGGTCATTTGCCATTTTCTGAGTGTGCGCTTTGGTACCGTTCTTGAGACTAAAACTTCTCGAAAGTCCCGATAATTAACGGGCCCCTAAAACTGTTGTTGTTTACATGCAAGATAGAAATTTCAATAGTTTTGCATCTAACATGGTAAAACTATCAGTTAATGAAAAAATGAAGTATTTTGCTAGCCAGGACCCGCGCTCCTCTTATTTCTTTTATTTCGATTTAAATATTTGATTTCGGGCCCGAAAAGTTATAGGGACTTTAGACAAACGGGCCCCAGGGACCTGTTTCTCGAAAGTCCCGATAATTAACGGGCCCGGTAAGCTGTCTCCCTTTACATTAAAGATCGAGGTTTTTGCATCTAACATGATAAAACTATCAGTTAATGAAACAAAATGGAGTAGTTTTCTAGGCAGGAGCAGCGCTCTTATTCTTTATATTTCGATTTGAATATTTGATTTCGGGCCCGAAAAGTTACCGGGACTTTCGAGAAACGGGAAACCTGCTCCGTTGTCAAAGGCCGCAAGACGGAATTTACTGGAAAAGTAAACTTAATGCTTTTGCCTAAACAGTGTCATTTTAACGTCAATTTGAAGACGTCAGGGCCTAACCCATTGGTAAACACGATTGATTTCAGCTTTCTAACTTGCTGTATCTGCGGTATATCTTCTTGGTGTCAGATTTTAAAGCTTGTTTGAGTCAGCCGAGCATGCTGTAAGGAGCAACTGAAATTGTCTGATATACTTTGACATATCTTTTGGTAAAGGAATGAGAGACGAACAGGTCAGCGTTCCAGACCCCAGGTTTCTTTCATTGCATATATTCGATACTAGAAACTCAAACTCATGCCTTAAGTCTTCACACTCAAGGAGAGGTTTGTAGACTTGAAAATAGCGCTACGTCATCTACCACTCCACAAGGCCGCCCTGCCTGGATAGCATTTCCCCAATTACTTTGCAATATTTTCTTAGTTGCGTGTGCTAATGTAAGTTTTTAATGCTGGTTAGCCTGTGCAAGCATTTGAAAAGGGGGAGACAGGATTTAGAGCGAATTGCTTACCTACCATCCTTGAGCAAGAGTTACAGCGTAACCCTTTCGATGGATTCTTCTATCCCCTCAACGGTCTTACCATCGGAGTCTTACTAGGTAGTACCCAACTAAGATTCAGAGCTATCCTTCCCCAAAATATACATATGAAATAACGTGATTTTTTTATTGTGATTCTTGACTCAAAACAGAAAACGCTTCCGAGATCATTTATCCAGGTTGTTCAAAGTTTAAAACCTACTAAGTGTTCGTGTGTACTGGCAGGGTGTATGATTTTGATGTTTTCCAAATTCCTTAATAGTCATTGCTTTTATCACACGCGCAGGTGTCCGAAAAACTGACCACCACTTTACACTTTTAAATCAAGTACTGTTGGCAGCCAGACTATGCAACCCTTCAGTTGTTGTATAATTGAACAAATAACTTTGGAAGCATCAAAGAAATGTATAAACAATTTTTTTTTCTGTTCGAAGGATGGTTTTCGTTGTCACACAACACCAATCCTTGTCTTCTCACACTTCCTCCCTGTACGTTGTAACTGATTCTATTAAATGGTAAGAACATCTTTCAAATCGCCGAAAATGTCTTAAAAACATATTTTTCTTGTGAAATATTTTGTTCAACCACCTTAAGAATTTAGATCATAACGCTCATTCGGTTTGAGTGACATTTTAATAACCTGGCCCATCTCCAATGACCTCTCGTTAGAGGTCAAATTACAAAATGCCTTAGCGCCGGCAGAATTTTGGAGCTCGAGAGTAGAAAAAGTAAAACAAGTGTCCCAAACTATAAAGGTTAGTTAATTCCTATTGCATGTTAGCAAACTAACTATCGTACTATAGAGGTACATCAGGTTTCTTCTCAAGAAATGCCAATGATCCCTTTCGGCAACAGCAAGCCGTTGGTGAATTATGCAAATACATCATATTTCACTCAAGATTTGTTTAAGTTCAGAAGGTTCGTCTGAAGCGCAAATTAAATTACCCAAGCCAGTTCTTACATATGTTTTAGTACAATGTTTTTAAACATTGTACTAAAACTATAAGCTATAAGTTAGAAGCTATAAGTTAGTTAAAAGCTATAAGTTAGTTAAAAGCTATAAGTTAGTTAAAACTAACTTATAGCTTCAGTTTCAGGAAAAACCAAGGTGTAGCACATGCCTAAAATTAAATCGCGACTTTAGGTCTAAATTTAAAGTTCGTTGAGTTGAAAAAGAACCAAAACTAAAATAAAATTGTTGACCTTCCACATTATCGTTAAGATAAGAATTAACCGCCATACTAGGGCTAAAACCCTTTATAACTTGATTTATCGGGGAATATTTTACCACGCTTTCTTCCTTTTTGCGTGCGAGTGAAGTTTTGAGACCGCCTCATTTCAGGGTCGTAACATGGTATATCCGGGGCCCGCTGATCCCTATTTTCTTGCCGTCATTTTGATCCCTGAGCCCCATTTTCTCCCAAATTTTGATCCCTGAGCCCTGATGAAAGAATTGATCCCATCCATGTTTTTACACAAAATTTTAACTTAGGCAACTTTTTTATCTCCAAATATAGAATATAGAACATGCTCAAATAGGTTGATGAGAAAAACATTAACTTTAATTTTTTAGTGCAAGTTGAAGGTTCTATCAGAGCTTTCTATTCTGCTATCCCTGTTGATGTTGTAGTCTTATGCGAATTTCCACTCTCACACTGTTTGTGGTACAGTGAGGATCACGATCAATTACCAGTAACAAAATAGCTGCTTTACATGAAGTAGAAAAATAAATGATGCAAGCCACAGGTTCTACAGTTTAACAGCTTTTCTGTATCAAGCCCATTAACGGCTTTTCCTGGCTTAATAACCATTGTGTAGATTGTCAGAGGACATATCTGGTTGTAGGTCTTCCAGACCTACTCCTTCCAGCTTCAAATCTAATTGGCTCTGAAAAGTTGTCCGCCCGAGCTTGCTCCCCTTCCTCTTCGTCACCACTTGACGCAGGTGAATCATCTGATTCAATTGACCCCTGGAGCAATGCAACTAGGAGTTGCTCTTCAAGGCAGCTCAAACAGAAGTTGTTTACATCTTTCATTATTTGAACTTTCCCGATGATATACACTCAGGTGAATTTCTATCGTCACGGTGCCCAGTCTGGTATACAAGGGGATCTTCTTCTGACTGTTCCAGTCATCTCAAACCCATGTGATCTTCCAGGAATGCGTCACCGTTATAGTGGAGATCTTTTAAAAGAACTGCAAGGAAGAAAGGATGATATACCTCTTGTAATTGTGCTTGAGAGCAACTACGTCGCCTTTTGAATAGATAATCTCATATTTTTCGGCGGCGTCTTGAACTGTAGTTTGTCCTTCACTCCCTTGAACCTCTTTCGGCAGATCGACCTCTCTATATGCCGACGCATTCCTTCTGAACATACTCAGAGCAAGTAGAAGTGTACCAGCACTTTCTTTGGTCTTCCCTCTTGTTCGTTGTTGTCGTACACCCCGTCCGAATTCTTTCGCAAAGCTCTGCAATGCCTTCCTTTGTCGCTCCTTTCCCTCCGCGCTCGTTTCCTCGTCAATGTCCTCCTTAAGGTTTACTCTTACCGTGCGACTTTCGAAGCTATTCCGGTGCCTTTGGACCCAGCTTTCTCTGTGTGTAATGGCTTTGAGGACCGGTATAAAAGATAAAAGAGGATTGGTAGAGCCTCTCTATTGATTCTAAAAGGCAGCTGGGCCGCCGCGATGCGTATTCGTTCAGAGCTGGTGTTGTCACTCCACTAAAAAATTCAGGCTTCAAATCTAAGGTGGTGATACCTTTCGGGGCCAACCATTACATAAGCCGAGGCCGAATAGCCCAAAGGGCCGAAAAAATTCTTGTAGATCAATATTGTCACTAAAGTCTGGGCAAAACAAAATAGCCACTGAATGAATGAGGTCTGAAAAAATCTTGCATGAAAAAAACTAACCCATCCCCGGCTCAAAAATCAAATAGTGGGCCCCTTACTGGTGGCCCTTCATGCTGAGTGCTATAATATATTAAATACCTGCAGACTCTGCTACTTGTACCTAGTATGCAACATTCCTTCCACTAATTCAACCGTTTATTTTAT